AGATGTTCACTTTGCCTAGCAGTGACTGAATATGCCAGTAAATGAAAAGCACAGTCTGATTTAAATCTAATGTGTCCTGTTGTGCATGAGTTTGCTTTTCGATTCTGTAACTGCATTATCCTGGCTTATTTTGTCTCATCACTAAGTTTTTGTTCCTTATTATTACAGAATTTTGTTTTGTAACGTTGCGTTTTAGGGTATGCATGAAATCTTAGCAATGATACTTCTGGTGCTGCAGATGGATTACGATAGTTGGAAGAAAGTCGAGCAGTCGTCTTCTTCTTCGTAAGTACCTATTTCTATTGTAAATGAGTTGATGTTCCGGCTTCGCTACTCTACGTTATCACTCTCACAGATAAAATATTTCCTGGGGAGTCGAGTAACTTAGGAAAAGGGATTAATGCAGTGAAATGTTTATATGAGCTATGATGCGTTACGTGTGTTAATAGGCTTTTTTATTCGATTACTTATTTAGTATTTGTTTTAGTGTTTTTGCTGAACATCAGCGGTACGTTGTTGTTTGGTGATTGGTAGTAAGTGTTTATGCTAAATTGCAAGGCAATTTGCAGGTCGATCTTAAACGAGTTGCTGGACGAACGGTGTGTGGAATCAGACGCATAGTATGACTTTATATTTTGTTTTAATTATAGCAGATTTTCGGTTTTTACCTTTTCATTAAGTAGTAGGTGTCCTTTCGAAGAAGTTTTCAAGGGGATCATAGTTTTTAAGTTTGCAAATATCCGTTTATGATTTCTGAAACAGTTCTGTGTTCTCTTCAGTAAATCGTCAGCTCAGTGCTTCTAAGCAAATCAAAAGGCAGAAGATAGACTTTCTACTGGAACTGCCGACGCTCTTGTCGTCCGCAGGGAAAGCCAAAATCTCCATCCTTTTATAACTTATCAATCATAAATATATAGAATTTTGCGGTCTGTCTCTTTCAGTGCTATTGCATTTCGTATGATATCTGTAAAATGCTTTGGTCAAGTCCTCAATCATTGTTTGTGTTCAATTTTATTCAATTTTTGCCTATATCTAAAGCTTTTGCCTCATTATAGACACCCTTTTTGAATAGAATTATTCATTTTTTGCGTAATATGTGTATCTTTAAATTTGCGTCTTCTGTTTACAACAGGTGTTTAAAGTTCTTATGTACCTAATATTTCTAGCAATGTCTTTGTGCAAGTAATGCAGATTTTGCAACCTTGTTACACGGATTCCCCTGACAGGGTAAGTGCACTTGTTTTAATACCGTTGATTTTTATATATAAGAGGGCTAAAAACGTTTCACAATAAGCTATTGAATTCTTTTCTCTTAATCATTGACAGCATTCATCATTAGCCTGGTGGTAGAAATGCTTACTAATCAAAATTCGTGATATCCACTTAGTTTTCTTTCTCGCATTTTGATGTTAAGAGGTTCAAGAACGTTTCCTGTTCTGCAATAATTTGTCTGTTTCTTAGTTTCTACAGCCAGATCATATGATGATGTATGTGCCATTTATCTTTAAACTTTGTCGTGCATATTTGATTGCCCAGGTTAGTGGCTGGCGTTCACTGAGCTTATTTGGTTCTCAGTAAGTGAAATAACAATCCTGGTATCAGTCATCTCTCAGCTTGATTAGCAACTCACGCTTCATTTTATGACCAAAAATGTAAACCAGTACGTAATAAACCAGTATGAAATATGGCTCAAAGAAGTAAAGCCGTTAGCCGAACACTTCGACATTTTCTCGCTGAATATCGAAGGCATCTACTACATTTTTTGCGAGTACCCATCGAGGATGTTAAAAGAAAACAGGATTGAAATCGCCGTCACGCAAAAGGAGCATGTCGAAGTTGATCGCAGAGCGTCAGATCAAAATTTCTCGGTTCAGTATGCTCGCAGACGCCATTGAATCCAACTACGGTTTAGCTGCCTATGCCACAGTAGACCTGGAGGATATTAGTTGTTAACCACTGAATAAGGTCTGATAGATAAACACAGAAGTGAACTCGAAACGGCGAATTCACTACAATGAACGTTGGATAAATCATTACAGTAAAAATGTACATGCGACCGGGAACCAGGTGGCCAACGTTACCGCTACCAACGCAACGTATAACTGTCCTCGCAGGCAACTTTAACAGTCCCCATACGGCATGGGCTACTTTTTGAACAACGCGGCGAGTGAAC